GCCGCCGAGCCGCCCGTCCCGCCGAGGGAGCCCGGCACTTGTTGCTGACGCGATGGTCACCGGGCCATCCGAGTAGGCAGCGACCGCCGAGCCCGTCGCGGGAGAGGACCGCTGCGGCCGGCGTCGAGGGCCCGGCCCCTTTGGGGGGGGCTCCGGGGGAGGGGGGGTCTCGGGGTGTTGTTTTCCTCTCGGCGCCCGGCGGTGACGGCTTCCCGGACGGCGTGAGGACTTTCCTCGGCCCTCGTGGGGATCGCGGCCGGCGGGACCGCCCGCCCGGCCCGGATGGTCACGGCGGGCTGAGGGGGCACCGCCAGACGCCGCCCGCCCCCTCCCTCCGCCTGGGCGCCTGGAGGCTGGCCTCCCTCGGCAGGAGGAAAAATGTCCTTCTTCAACTTTCGTAAGATCTTCAAGCTGGGCGGTGAGAAGAAGAAGAAACAATACGAGCACGTCAAGAGGGACTTGAACCCTGAGGAGTTCTGGGAAATTATAGGAGAGCTGGGAGATGGTGCCTTCGGTAAAGTCTTCAAGGTAAGGGCAAGCGGGCAACTCAAATCACTTGTCGTACTGCTCGTAGCTAAAAAATTACTTGTAGTATTGCTTCTGAGTTCTGTCTAAAGCTTGCCTGTCTGTAAGCTCTGTCACCTTGGGATACCTGTTGTAAGCACCGAGTTTCCGGAGAACTTCGTGAGGCAGGTAAGCGCTGCGCCCACCTGCCGCCCTGCCAGAAGGGACGCGTCCCGAGTTCCCGTGGTGTGTCGGTTGGAGAGCAGAGCTTGTGATCCAGATGCCTCTTGTCCACAGAGGCTCATGAAACTAAAGATAGAAAAGACCTATTAGGTCATTGTCCCGCCTTCTGCTCCACCCTGCCCGTTGCTGAATCCCTTGCTTCTCCTGTATTTTGTTTTTTTGGACTCGTGTGCAGTATGGCTTCTAGCCTTACAAAGACTGTATTTTCTTAGGTGTGAAGTTCATACTTTTTTTTGAGTTTCTGTACGGAAGGAAGCCCACGAAGAGTAAAATTGACTTGTGTGCCTCGTGCGTAGTTTATAGGGCCAAGCCCACGTCGCTTTTAATGGGTATTCTCCTAGCTTGTTCCACGTGGAATTAAATTAAATGGTAGTGTTATCTTGGCTTTCTTTGCGTGGCAGAATTCCTGTGTTGGATCTCCTCACTTCTCTCAGTTGTTTGATCTTTAAGTGTAGTGGTACAAGTAGTGTTTTTAAGGATGCTTATCTAGAATTTATCAAACACAATGGAGTACAATGACATAGATATAACGCTGCTAGTGTTTGACAAGACTAGCTTTCAGGCATATCTTCAGCTACTTTCCCTCCTTCTAAAAGGGCATTAATACTCCACATTTGGTTTAGGGATAGTGTGGAAAAAAACATCATGGAGGAGAAGCATGACAGAATTGGGGAACTGACATGAATTGAGACTCTGGAGCAGGTTCTTGAGACTAGAAAAAAATAGCGTGAGAAAGAATAGCATTTACAGTGTTTCTGAGAGCTAATTTGGTCAAGAAACATTTATATTTAGAGTACTGCATTTCAGAGTTTATGAAATCTGGGTGCTCATGAAACCTGTGCTATTTCTGGTAGAAATTATTTTAGTATTATTGTAGTGTGGTGTTACCTATTTGTAAATGTGAGCAAAAGTGTCACAGTTAGTTCAGAATGCTAGGTAGCTTGGGTTTGGGGGTTTTTTTTCACCCTAGGAATTTGTGTCAACATTCTATTTAAGAGCATCTAGTTTATTTTAGTGTTGGTGCAATACGTAGTCTAGATAGTGGTTCTCATGTCAGTGTGGAATATAAGAGTTTTTTTGATTAAAATGACTGGGAAATATGTCTGAAGTTGCTATATCATAAAGCTTTGTGACTACAAAACCATAATGCTGTCTCTAATGGCATTTTCAGAGTATTAAAGTTTTTCTTTAAGCTTCATATTGGAGTTTTGATTCCCTTTCCCTGAATATAATGCTCTGTCCCGTAGAGATGACTGGGGGAGCCTCAAAGATACAATACTAAATGTGTTCTCCTCCTCCCCCCCCACATGCATTTCCCCTCCATCCTGAAACTACTTCTTACTTCATTTTGTGGAGGAAGGTATCTGAGCAAGACAACTGGTAAATTTTGGATTTCAGTGTACTTCGTGTACAACAGGAGAGTTTTTTCCAGTTGGATGTGATTTTTCACTTTGAGATTTATTTCTGAATGTGAAATTTCAATGTTAACTGTTGAAATTGAATTTTCAAAAATAAACCCCTATTTTAAAAATTGTAGTAGTCAGAATTACACATGCAGTTACACTGGTAAACTTGTTGAATGTAGCACATGTGAAAATTAACAGGTACTAATATTCCTGGAAAAAAAATCCCCATTTAAAAAAACAAAGTGTCCTACTGCATGTATTCAGCAACATTCATTTTGTTTCCATCTAGTTTGAGAAGGAGGATTACACACAGATGCTAACTGTACTTGTGTTCCTGCATCTGAGCATGCTTGGCAAGATACTGTTTCGAAAGCAAGGGTGTGTTAGGTTGTTCTCTCTTGAATATACACCTCAAGAGAAACTGCAAGAACAGCCATTCAATACCTTCTCAAATTTTGGAATATGAACTAGAAAAAAACTGTCAATGTTTGAAGACTTTAAGTAATGGGGGGATGTGTGTGTTTTATTTTGTGTGGTGGGTTTTTTGTTTTGTTTTGTTTTTGTAAAAAAAAAACCCAACACCCTAGTGTCAGTTAAATTTGCCAAAACTACATTTGCCTTACTTTAAGATCCTGGGAGTCAGTGTGTGACAGGGTTTTGGCAGATGTATGATAAAATGGAATTGCCAGATAAATAAGGGTTTGCATACCTTGGACTCCTAATAAAAAATAGGTTAGATTGTTTACATGCTATGATTTGCCATAGAGAAGTATTTGGTTTAGTTGTGTAACTCGTCTTTCGGACAAAGCATCAAATATTTCAATAAAAACTCAAAAGCAACTCTTAAATGATTCTGACGGTACTATGAAGCCTAGCTGATTAAATTATTTACATTAGAAATCCTATGTCTAGTGATAACTAGTTTTGTATACAGAAGTCTTAAGGGCATTTAAAACTTGTGATTCATTCCCCTTCTTCCCAATCAAGTACAAGGGTCTTGCTTGTTTTTTTTTAATAACAGCCAAATTACTAGAAGAGCTTATTTCCTTTGAAGCTGTTTATTCCAGTTTTCTAAAGCTTTCTTAGCACTGACAATTCACACATTTATATTCACTAACTTCTAAGTAATGTTTAGAGATACTTTATTTCTAAGTGTTTCGACTGCTGTTGCAAGTCTCTCTTGTGATCAGAGGAGCTATGTGGCTGCAGATTACTGATGGCAAAGGTTTGTAGTTGTATAGGACTTTCATTCTAGCCCTTTCCAGCCTCTTCAAAGAGGCCACTTTTAGGCTCTTTTTGTTTCTTTTTGCTCTTGGCTAATGAATAATGGTGTAGTTTTTCATCCTTTTTCAATTTATAGACCCTTGCAGTACTTCAGTATCAGGTGATGGCCCTTGTAAAGAGAATTTCGAGGTTGTTGATTATAGACTTTTTTTCCAATCTCTTTTAATTGTCTTTCATGGATTATTTAGAATTACTGAGTGGACTACCAGGGTTTTGACAGCCACCAAAGAAACATAATGTGAGCATTGGAGGCTGATTTCAACTTTGAAATTTGGGGGCTAAAACAGGGGTTTTTTTTTTTTTTTTTTTTTTTTTAAGAAAGAAGAAACAAGAGAGAGACAGTTTGAAACTGCTCTTGATTTGATCAGGTTGAGTCCCCTGAAAAATCTTGAGCTCTTAGTATTAAAGTTAATTATAATCAGTTTGCTTTAGAAATTAGTTACATTATTATATCGTGTTACTATATTGTGTGTTATATTGCCCTATTGTATCAAGTATCTGTTCAGTACACATAGTGAACATTGCTTTAAGGTAAATCAGTATAAGTAAGCATTAAATACTTTCATCAGCTTTAAGCTACTTTCTAAATTCCCAGAAGTTAATGTTCAGATGGTGTGAAAACAGACCTTTAAAATGCCTAATGTGTTCTGTGGCTCTTTCTTGCTGAAGTTCCTGATTGAAAATCTTTATCATATAGATGCACATAACTAATTAAAATGCAGGTATCTTCCCAAGTTAACCTTTTGAATGAAATAAAGTGCTGGGATTATATTTCAGTAAAATTTGCCCAGCCTTTTTTGGTAGTAAGAACATTGTACACTAATATAAGAACGCTTACATTGCAAAAAGGCATTTTCCTATGTTTAGTTGGTGTCATCTCTGAGCCCTTCACTAGAGGATACTCCTCCAAGAAATTCATGGTCTTTTGGGTATCATTATGATAATTATGGGTA